CTGGCCTATCCCTGAATCACCCTGGTCACATCTTCACATTGACTTTGCTGGACCGATCAAAGGGGCAGTATTATTTTATCCTCATTGATGCTTACAGCAAATGGCCAGAAAATTTTCAGATGAATCGTATCACCTCTGATAAAACAATTCTTAAGTTAATTTGGAGTCCCACAGATACTAGTTTCAGATAATGTCACTGCATTCACTTCAGCTGCATTTTCAACTTTCTGTGCACAGAATGGTATTCAGAACATTAGGACATCACTTTATCCACAATCAAATGAACAAGTAGAGTGTTTTGTAGATATATTTAAGAGAGTACTCCTCAAACTCTAAGGTGAGAGAACCACACAAGAAATATTCCTTGGAAGTTACAGAGCTACACCCAATTCAATGCACCAAATGGAAATTTACCAGCAAAAGCACTGATGAACTGTAAAGTTTACACATAAATCTCATCCATCCAGTTAGAAACCATTCCCTAAAAAGGAACATGGTGATGGAAGAACAATTTAACCGTCATCATGAAACAATGACATGCAAATATGTACCAGGACAACCTGTACTTGCAAAAAGATTACTGCAATGGTAAAGAAAAAATGGCTCCAAGGGTGCATTATACGTCACTCTGTAAATGTTATGTATGATGTTGATATACTGTCTTCAGTCTGGGTTTGGCATCCAAGCCAATTACGACCATCAAACCTTCCAGAGACCAAATTAAACTCCACTGGACATTCTATTGGACACCTTTGAACTGCCTCAACAAAGTTCCCAACTAATACCAAGGGACAAAGATAGGACTCCAGTGCACCAAGGAAATCCCATCCACTATGAAGTAAGCCATACCTACTGCAATTAAATTCTCAAAAAAAGTCATATGAGCACAAAGCTAAAAAGGGGAGGTGTTAGGGGGTGTTACTTACTTCCCCCTATAAAGAACAATAACTCAAAATACAATGGTCCCTTGTCCACTAGTGGGAACATGGCACTTCTGAATTCAACATGGTGACAAGATGACATGCACATAGAACTCATGGTTTAAATCCAAACAATCCTTGCTGCTCTCAAGCAGTAAATGGATAAAAGTTATTTTATTGTGTGTTAAAATACACTTTTATTTTCATTTGTTTTTCTTCATCCTAACAACATAGGATATAAAAATACCAATAATTTTAATGCCTATAATACTAGCTACAGACATTATTCCCCCTTGTTTTCTAAAAATCATGTTGATTGACTATTTCTATGAAGGGCCTAACCTCTAACTCGGCTATCAGGTCCATCAAATATAGGACTGCCTTTATTGTTAAAAATTACTATTGAGAAATGTACTACTTCACTCAACTCATACATTTCTCTTTGTGATGTTTATTTAAAGGTGGGAATTTAATTACTTTCATGTCTTTTACCAATGTTATTATTAATTCCAGCTTCTTTTTTTTTACTGATCAATATAATTTTTTTCATTTTTTTTTATCAGATTTCTTTTTCTAATATTCTTAAAGCCATTTCATCTTATTTTGGCAATGTTTTCAATTTTTATTTTATTTTATGATCTCTTGAACTTTCTCCCCATTTATTAAGTAATCTCATGTTTTGTACTCTCATTACTAAATTACTGTTTTTGTTTTTTGTTTATTTCTTTCATACATGGCAATTTTTATTAATCTAAAATAAAGAAAATAAATACCTATAACTATACTATTATCTATATTTATTTACAAGATGATGAATAACCCTCAGGATGCATATTAAAATCTCACACCCTCAATAAGTTATGAATATTTCTTATAAAAGCAGATACCATAAGCTGAAATTCATATGGTATATTTATCAGTAATTATATATTGGAAATTTTTTCGAGTGTTCCTTTTTGGTTTTCATATATATATTAATGTAAAACAAAAAACGTTTATGGGTTTATGGAACCAAGAGGCAACTTGGCAAAATCTAAAACTCTTATCCAGATAAAGTCTCGAATAAAAGCGACAATACTGAAAAAAGAAAAAAGGCCTAAAAGCAAATTTCCCTACTCTGTAAAGTGCTTGAAGCCTAGACTGCCTAGACCAAGCAAAAATACAATGTTAAATCTTATGAAATGATGGCTCTACCCATAACTAGAGTTTCGTACTCATGATCTTCAGACATAACACACAATAAACTGAAATAAAGTAAAAAGCCTGTATTGTAGTGATTAATAATTGGTGGGTAAAAAAAAAAAAGTGGCCAATTAATCTGATGTTTTTTTTCTTCAGTGAAATTCTAACTGCAGAAATCAGAATGAGATGAATTTCTATTATTATTTTGTCAATGTTTTTGGTTTTGGTTAAAAAAGTTTTCAGTGTTAGATTGCATTAGAAATATTTTAATTTTGTTGAAAAATATCACTTGTGACATAATACTTTTTAAAATTTTGTGAAAATTAGCAAACGTTCCTTGTTTCTAATAATTTTTTGCTTCTTTTTCTCCTAAGGTAAAAATACAATCTGTGAATTTTTTTTTTTTTTTTTTTTCAAATACACAAATATTTTTCTTGTCTAGACATTAATTATGGTCTTTTACTAAACAGTTACAAACAGCAATTTTTACTGTTAAGGGAAAAAACCATGCAAGGGAAAAAAGAAGTAGAGCACTATTTCCCCATAATAAAAAAAAAATTTGCATACATAATTTAAGAGTTGTACAAGAAAAGATCTGGCCATGTATAGTGAACCAGCAAATTCTTCCCAAGTGCATGATGTAATCATTAGGTGCTGATTGAAAACTGTTATATATTGATACCAGCATTCATTCATATATATATATATATATATATATATATATATATATATATATATATAATATATATATAAATTTCTAAAGAGATTTCTAAGAATATAATTGTACTGAAGGATTTCTAAATATATAGTATGGATAATGTTTACAGATGATGTTGGGCTTTTGGCTATATGTTGAAACACTGGTTCTTGTTACAATCACCAGGGTTAAGCAACATCAAACCAGGTCAGTATCTAGATGGGTGACTGTTTGAGAATACCAAATGCTGTAAGCTTGGATATGTGGGTGGTGCAGTGGGTAATGGCTCAGATTTGGAAATTGGAGAACCAAATTCCAATTCTGATCGAGTTTGTTATATTCACTTAAATGAAAATACTCTTGGAGAAAAGCATGAATCCACCTCTTCTCCCCAGACCCATCTATGGGTTAATTAATATGACTTGTAAATCTTTATTATCAACAAAAACATTCTTATTATCTAAAACTGTTTTATGGTTTTAAATAACCTGCAAAGGGTTGATAAGTCATAAAAACAATAATTTTTAAATTTGTTTCCATATGAACTCACAGAAGATTTGAATTGAAATGTTTAAACATTTCATTCTATTCATCTATATTAAAATACACATTTGACTAGTACTTACCCAACAAGTATATTGTAAAATGGATTTTTAAAATAATCTAAGTAAAATGACTGAAATTTCTGTAGAAATCCATAGAGCCCTTCAACTAAAGTATATTCGATTATTTTATTTTTTTATTTTTATTTTTTTTCCTAGACATTTTGACAAAATCAAATCCCAGCAATGGATTATTCTCTTTATGCACTAAATGAACTTACACAAAATTAGAATGAAACTCAATTTTATCTGCTCAAAAATTAATTTTCTAAATGTTAACAAGAACTCTTGTATAAGTATAACAAAATGTATATTATTCAAAGCATGTTTGTTCAAAAAGAGCATTTTCAAATTTGTATAAATCTTTTCTCTGGCCTTACTCGGAAACTCGTCTACACATCAAAGATGAAATGGCTTACAAATGAAGCCACCCTCTCTACAAAAGAATTTGAATAATTTGTTTCTTGTTATGTTAGATAACAATATGAAGCTTAAGTCTGGATGTATTTATCATTAGCAGTGGAAGATTTTCAACACAAGTTTTACAAGATTACAAATTTATTTTGGCATTGAGTATCTTGAATGAATTTGAATGTCTTTTGAATCTAAAGAAATCTAGTTTATATATAAGGCAAGACAAAAAGTTGTTATAAAAAAGATGAAAGCTGAGTGTGTGTAGAAAGATGACATCTAATATTTGATAAGTGGAGAAAGACTTTATGAAAGACTTGTAAGTTTTTGCTGTTTGGATTTTTTCAGTATCATGAATTCTATCATTCATTACCAATAAAAGATGCTTTTTGGTCTATCATAGAAAATCATTTTACTTATTTTTATTTTGATAAGAGCCTCCAGAAAAGTTCATTGGTAAATTTTTGAAATTGCTTTAATATAAAGAATTATTTGCATAAAAAGTTTTCAACTCCATGAAATTGAAATATAAATGTTTTTTTATATTCTGTTAAAAATATGACTGTAAAATACTTAGTATTGTAGGGTTGTTTATTTTTGTCATTTTGGATATACTGAAATTAGAAAAGGATAATTGACACACACATACTCTGAAAAGTTCAGTTCAACTTACTTCTTAAAATGTATAACCAAAGAATCTTTTTGGGAAGGCTTCTTGGTTGCACCCAATCATTACACACACACACACACACACGCACACACGTGCGTGTGTGTGTGTGTGGTGGTTTCAAAGATATTTTGTCTATGTATACACTGACAAATGCTAATCAAATGATATTATTCAGTGAATATTCAAGATCAAAATTTAGCTTAAAAACAGTATATAAAGTTATAGATTTATTAATCCACTTTGTGTGTGTGTGTTTATAGAAATCACCTCCAGATAATTTTATAATGCATGCTTCTCTTCCATTTTTTTTCTTTTTTTTGTAATCCTTTGGTCTCCCTATATAAAATTGTAACCAATTAAAGATTTAGTAAACTTATTTCTCTCAGACAAATTAAGAGAATGGTTTGTCTGCATAGTTATGTGTTTCAAATGTTTTTTTGTTAATTTTTTTATAATTCATTCATTATTTGTTCCTCCCAAATTCCGATCTCACAAATTTTTTCTTCATTGTCTCTCAGAAAGGAAAATTTGTAAATGAAAACTCGTCAGACAGTGACAGCCAATCGAACACAGGTTCTGCCAGTCCCAGTCACAGCAGTAATGAATCTTCAGCCTCATTTGACAGCAGTGATGATGATAAAGACAAAGAAAAACACTTGGTAAATCAGAAATCTATTACGTACTTGAGCAGTCAGTCTATCCATCCTTCCGTGCATCTGTTCGTTTATTTGCTTTGTTCATTCACCTTTACCTCATTCCTTTTGTCCAATCATTGTGAGTTCCATTCTCAATTGGGTGCAATCAAAATAACAACCTTGTGACAAATTTGTAAAAATGACAAATGACTTAGTATTTCTGTTTGTCATCTTAACTCCCTTTTGTGCATGTACTGTGTCTTGTAATGACTGAAGCAAAACACTTGAGTCTTGGAATTCAGTATCAGGAATGGTCCAGCTTTTGCCTTTTTGCTGTTGGATCCATTATTGAGACCCCAGGACTAGATATGTTCTTTGTAAATTGTTAATATAAGAATAAACAGACATGGTATGATGGTTCTGCTGCTGCTGCTAATACTACCATTACACATTCATCATTACTACCAAAAATTTTATACCAAGGAAGTTTTTTTGGGCTTTGTATCATTACCTTATTTAAAATTTTTGTCAAATCTTTATTTTAAATAGAATTAAAAAAAAAAAAAAAAAGTACAAAAAATATTTGAAAACAGTCTATTGAAGTAATTTTGTGTTTATTTCATTGTGGCTGTATAGTTTGATGAGCAAATATGTTCACTAACCATTATTTAATAGAAAGTTTTTTGTTATTAGTAATTTCTTGTGTTATATACTCTGAAAAGTCTTTACAATATGAATGAAAATTTTAAATAAGGTGTATTTACAGAATGATATTTTGTTAAAAAAAACTCACTATTATAAACCTAAAACTGTGACTAACATTTATTTCTATCATTGCTATCACCACCACCACTGCCGCCATCATCATCATCATCATCATCATCATCATGAGTTACTGCATTCCGGTTGTAATGCTTTGCAAAGCATTTAGTTGAGGGGGGGGGCACATTTTGCATCAATTTTGCTCCCTTCCCTACTACACACACACACACACACACACACACACTACTGGCATTTGTGAACTATTGGACTTTTTCACTGTCTTAAAATATTAAAAATAAAACTTTTTCTGTTGCTTAACTTTTGATTTTAAAACTTGAGCCCCTACCCACAGTACTTGCTAGCCACTATAATGGACACTCACCGCTTCCCTAATCAAAAAATTTCCAAAAATGAATAATCAAACTGAGCAAAAATTTTAAAGTTTCATTTTTTTTATAAAGCAAAGAGTTTATCATTTTAGTAAGAATTTTTTTTTTTTAAATCAGTAGTTTTAAAATGGTTCTATCTCTATTTTTATTAATTTTTGACTAGTATTTGATAATTTTGTCATTTTAACTGCTTCTTTATTTTAAGTCTACTCAGGCTGGCAGTGAGTAGGCAACATGTATAGGAAATGAGGGATTAGACTGTCAATGATATCTGAACTTAGGTCTCTTTTACCTCACAGTAAAATGAAAGTAAAAATATAGGCTAATGAAAAATTAATAATAATGGTCAACAATACGTAATTCAAAGAAATAATACTGTTGGTTTCATTTAATTTCTTCCCCTCCCCCCAGTTAAAGCATTTTTTATACTTTACTTTTGAATTGGCTCAAAATCTACAGGTTTTCTTTGTTTTTAAAGGGAAGGAGATGCAGCAAAATCATCAAAAGATTCTTTCTCAATGTAATTCTTTGTTGCAAATGAAACTTTTTCATTCTATTTCTGTTAAACATCATGTCTATGAGATTGTTTCCTGTTTGAGTTTTACTTGAACAATTATAAAATCTGTCTTTGCACTGTGCATTCCTGATTAAAACATTTTTTTTCAAATCCTTGTCTTTTGTTTTATGGCTTTATGTTGTAACTGTTATGAAAATCTGTTACAAGTTGCTAAAAATAATGCTTGGTCATTGAGATGTTTGTGTTTGTATTTTTAAATCTTTACTTCTGTCCTGGAGTATTTGAAGTTTGTTAGCAGTTATCCAAGGCTGACCATTATGCTTAAAATGTTTTACTTCTATTTTTAATTTTATGATATGTAGAATAAGATGGTGGGAAGATTTAGCCTGTAAACTTAAATGTAAGTGAACAAATCATTGTTATAGTTGATTATTAATAATTAATTTTTTGTTTTGTCCAGTTAATGAAAGCTTATTTTAATCTCATATTCACATGAATTTTAGACTAAATATTAAGTTTGATCCCCACATATCCTCCAAAAATAAAATGGTATGGTTTCAGCATATCAGTCAATAAAACTTTGATAGCAGAAGTAGACTGACAATTTTTCTGTAGTTTCATTGGAAATCAATAAGACAGAATATGATTAAATTACATTTTTCCTTAATCGCTGAAAATAGTTAATTTCAAATAAATTGTAATAAATCTCAGATTAAGGCAGATTTTATTCCATTCACTAAAAATTAAATCATGAATTTATGTCCCTTTTAACATTTCAAAGTGTAAACTGATTTAACCTATAATTGCAGGGTTCAATAAATAATTCTTCAACCTATTGCATCTGATAATCATTAACTGAAGTAATTCTGATAAAACATTTTTGAAAATTTTAATTTATAAAATTAATATAAATCTATTTGATAACAGAAACTAGAAATAATGTATTTGAAAATTTGGTTGTAATTTTGAAGTATTTTAAAAATGAAAAAGATATTTATTTTTTATTTACAGTTTCTGTGAGGAGGAGCAGTCATGCATTATGTGTATAGATGTTATTTTTATATTAATTTATTGTTTCAATTGTAAACAAGTATTTTTCTTCCATGAGAAACTGAAATGTATTTTTGATTTTAACAATACAGGCAAATATAATTGTTTGCAGCTGTCTATACTGACCATTTTCACAGTGTGCTTGTGTTGTGATTTTTTTTCTTTTTTCATTACCTTGGGGTTTAGCAAGCTGGTTCCCATTGACACTGAAAGGTTTACATTAGTAGATTAAAATGATGTTCATTCAAGGTGAATTATATTGTGCTTTAAAAAATTAATCAGCTATTTAATCAGTGTTTTCATATTTTTTTGTTGTTGATACCTTTTTGTTAAGGTTGGTGGTTTTTGTCTCTCCCTATCACTCTTTTTTTCTTTTTCTTTTTTTTAAATTTTGTGTGTCTATTCTTCAATCCTCTACTGTTGAAATGGTCTGGTTTTATTTTATCATCTTTTGTATTTGATGAATTTTTTCTGACATTGTTTATGATAGAATTTCTATTTTCTTTGTTAATTCTATGAATTTCTTGCAATACTATTTGACTGGATCTTCATTTTGCTTGAATTATTGTATGCAAACTGTAATCTATTCTGCCATCCTCTTTTTATTAAGTGCTGATTAGAGGAAATCGAAAAATGATGCTAAAATGATTCTGCTGAGCTCATTAATCAAGTAGTGTTTAAGATTTTCTAGGGAAGAGTTTAAATTTGATTGGTTAGAACTCTGTTGCTATGGTTATGCATTGGATGTCATTTTAGTCATTTTTTATACTTAATGACATTGTCTGCAGATGGTTGTGATCAATTATTTTTTTTACTTTTTTAAAAAATTTTATTTTGATATTAAAGGCATATATAGAAATTGACTTCCTTTTATAATGTTAGAAATTTTTTAAAAATGGCTGACAGACATCTAAGATCAATTTAGAATTAAATGTTGAGCATATATTCACACATTCATTTGGTTTAGTATTTTTATTTATCTTTTTTTTTATTTTTTGTTTCCATTTTTGCTTTTTTTTCTATTGATCTTTTCATTTCATGTTTTAAATTTGTTTTTGTTAATTTTGATTATTCTTGCTTTTTTCCCACTCCACTTTTTTTTTCTTTTTTTTTCGCTATTTATTTTTCTTTTCAATTTTATCAGGCTTGTTTTGTTCCTCATTTTTCATAGTATTTTTTCTTCCTGCCTCCTCTTCCCTAAATTTTAAAACTTTATTGTAAAATGGATATGATATTTCCCTCTGAAGGTAAGTTGTATCTTTTAATTATAAAATATTTTAATTCGCTGTTTGGAATTAGGTTTTTCTTAACAAAACAAAAGGAAAACTACCTCAAAAATCAATACAAAATCTAACTGAAATGTTCACAACCTAACTCATTTCACAAAATCTAACTGAATGACTAAACACCAGTATCTTTGTAGGGAAGCTTTCTTGGTTGATCCAATAACTTTTTAGGACCCTTGCTGTTTTTTGGTAGTTTTTTTTTTTGTATCCTCTGATTTAAAAATAATTTTAATGCCTTCTACTATTATTTTAATTAAATATCTCTCATTTAGCTTATGGTAGTCTTCCAATATTTGATGGCAATTTGTTTCAGGAAATGATTTTTCTAAAACCAGGTCTTTTTATGGTCTTTTTAGCAAGACCTTCACCAAATAGGGGACAGTTCTAAAGACACTGGGATTTTGTATTGATCATATACATTGATTATTTGAACCCTGAAACCTGAATTATTCCCAGTACACCATCTTTAAAAATTAAAGGGAAATTTCACTATTTCAGAACAGTTTGTATAACAACAAATCAGCAATGAAAAACAGCAAATGACTGGTACAAAGTTGCTCATATGACCAACCTTATTTTACTTACATGTGTGATTTAATTTTCTTTTCTTTTTTGATCCATCTTTTTTATAATAAAAAAATTGCATAAAAATATACACAAAGGGTGTAACCATTAAATTTAGCCTATTCCTCAAGGCACAATTTTTCAGATATTATGTTTAAAGTTATTTTTTTCTCTCCAATAAATGTCTTACCATTTTACCAGTGCTATGGTGAGTAGATATCAGAGTATTATACTGTACTACAGGTTCAGCTGGTAAATCATAAATGATTTTAGATGATGGTGTTAACTCTTTATTTTTAAAAAAAAAAATCACTCAAACATTTGGATTCAACCAATTTACCAAGTATGAAATTGCTGATATAGAAAAGTTTCTTATAGAGATAAAAATTCTAATATATTTTTGAACATATTTATTTTACTCTTCCTTAAACTTTATGAAATACTATTTCTGTCCCTAAATCATTGTTATATTTACATTTATATATTTCGTACAATAAATGTAACAACTATTTTGGGACATAACATTACTATCTCTCATATCTGTGTGTATGTAATATATATATATAATTCTTAAAACAGAATTAATCAAAAAGTTGGATACAAAAGTTACCTTACAATTTCTATTTTTCATCGAGACGATACTTTAATAAAAAATGTTCCTTGTTTTAAGAATACTATTTAGTTGATATGACATTAAAAATCTTTTCACATTTGCACCAATTTCATACATATTACCTTTGTGCAAATGGCAAGGTATATTAAGAGTGTTAGTTATTTACATCACCATATATGAAGTGACTAGTTTATGATTGTTGTAATATATATTCAGTATTACTGTCAAATTGTTTATCTACAGTATTTAATCTATTTATGAGTTATATTGTATTGATGTGAACTATTCAGTTTTTCAGGACCTGGCAAAATGGTACAATATTATTATTGCTTTTGTTAAATTTTGTAAGAATGATACCAACAAATACACAAAACTGATGGCATATTTTGGAGTTTCATCTTCATTTAAACCCTCTGATCATGCCAGTAATGGAAGTGGTGCTGCCTTTATATGTGAAGGAAGTGTTTGTGTGCACCCACAATCTGTAAATAGTTTGAACTCTACATTCATTTCATTTTTGTTCAAATGTGATAATTTGAAATTATGAAATCATTACACTGAGTAAGTGCACAAATAAACAATCTATTCAGTTGATAATGTGACTTTATAGTCATGTATCCTGATGTGTCAATCTTAATGATAACAAGAATGGTTATGGTAACAAGAAGCATTAGTCTATGTCAATAAGTGTCTCTTGTCATAACAATGGAATAAGGGAGATAAGGATAATAATTGCTCTTGGTTTAATTTTGTGTTTATTTTCTTTTGGATATTTTAATTATTGAAAAAGCCAAATTGTTTCTTATATGTAATAATAGTTGATTGGTAATTGTATAGATTAAAATTGTAGATTACTAATGCAAAAAATATAACCAATAAAATTGCTAAATTATACCTATGACAAGATAGACCCACTTTTCCTGTTTGGTTATCTTAAAATCAGTTATCATATTTATTTTACAGGCTTAAGTTTTTAATAAGACTTGCATAAATAGTATTATCAGGAAAAAATTAACTTTTCCTCCTTGTTAAACTGGATGAGGAGTGAGGTTGCTGTGTGCAAATACAAATCCAACCTGCATTCATTTTAATTATTCACAAAACATTTAAGTATGTTCTAAAAAAAAAAAATGATAAATTGGGGGTTGTTAAAAAGAGCACATGGACTTGTGTGTATTTTATATTTTGACTTTAGAATTTCTACTTGAAACAAATCCCTTCTACTGTATGTTGCCAGTAGACATTAAAAAAGACTTCAAGGTCCTGTATAGATAGCAGACATATAAAAAAAAAGAAGAAATATTGCAAATTACTAAGATTTATTTTATCATTGTTATAAATTGTTCTTCACATGACTGCAATTTTAGATTTTTTTTAAGACTATGGTTCTATCACACTACCATAATAGGCTTTTTTTTCCTTTTCCTGTCTTCCCTTTTTTTTCCTGTTTTCTTCCCCCTTTTCCTCTCTCCCTCCCTCTTTTTATGTCTCTCTCTCTCTCCTCTCCTTTCATCTGCTTCACCCTCTTTTTATGTCTCTCTCTCTCTCCCCTCCTTTCATCTGCTTCACCCTCTTTATATCCATCTTCCTCCTTTTCTCTTTCCACCTTTTTTTATGTCTATCCTTCTCCTTTTATCTGCCTCCCCCACTTTTTGTCCCTTTTTTTTACTCCCCCCCCTTTTGTCTTCAGCCTCCTTTCTCTTCCTTCAGGATGTCAGTGATCATGACTCTTCATTATTTCCTTCTGTTTAATATTCCATGGTTTTCCTTCATATTCTAATTTTATGCATAATTGTTCATTAAAATATCAAAATAGCACCTGTTGTTTTTTAATTTCCTGAAATGACTTTGGACTGTTTAAAATTATCAATTGAGGCTAATTAAAGTACTTGATCAGAAATCAATTAGTGAATTTCAATTAAGACTTGATTTTTAAATTTTTATTCACTTTACTTTTTTAAGAACTTTATTAAGAACTTTATTATATTAGTAATACAATTGTATAAGTGTTATTATTTCTGTTATTGCTCTTAATACTTATTTCAGATCATAACAATATTTTTGTGTTGAACAATCTAAGCCATCTTATAAAACAAGTAAAACACCTACTTTCATTGTTGCCAATTTTTGTTTCTTAGGATCAGCATTAACTTTTCACCTGTTTATTTTATATCATTTTCTTTAATGTTCTTGATTGTAACAATTTTTTTCCATGCAGCATCAAAATGGAATTTTTTTATTTTGATTCAGTAATGTTTTAATAAAGATTCAGAAATGTCTGTTTTTTTGCTAGAATTTTTTTTCAGTTACTCAGAGTAAAAATGAATTTTTTTTTTTTTTTTTTTGTATTTTGTTTCCTAGCTATATTTTGATAATCACTGCAGCCAATAACAAATATTAAAATGTATTATTGTATACAGTTACTGGACTAAGTAATTTGAGAGAAAAGAATAATCTATAAATCTACATGTGATTAAAATTAACCTTTTATTTTTTTTTAAGTAAAGTAAAAACTTAAGAACATTTGTTCACCTTTCAATTTATTAATTTTAAAATTAGAACTGTTACAATCTAAAATAACTTTAATGTTTATTGATGTATTGTCTTAGTTAAAAAATTTTTTTTTTCTCTTTCTATAAAATTGTCTAGAAAGCATGGATTCACTAACATGATTATTTCATTAATTTAAATTTATATGTATGGGAAGCTAACAGTTGCAAACTTACTAAATAGTACTAATGTTACACTAAAATTTAATTCTGTTAAATGTCTGCATATTTTTAAAAGAAACTTTGAAGGTGATATGTTGGTAAATTTGGTAAAATTTCATTAAAAATATCAGACTTGCCTGAATTTAATGTTCTTGAATTCAGTTTAGTGAAATCTTATATCTGCATTATTTGTAAGAATATAAAATTTGTTTTAAAACAATTCTTTTGATATTTATTTTTACACATTTTTTTGTTTCATACTTTATTTTTCTTGTGATAATTTTTGAAATTAAATTATAGCATTTGGAAAGAAATTAGCAGCTTAAGATAAGGATTTTTGCAAAAAGTAAGTTAAAATAGTCCAAATATCCCTTCTACTGTATCTTGCCAGTAGACATTAAAAAAAAAGGACTTCAGGTCTTGTATAGATAGCAGACAGATAAAAAAAGACAGAAATATTGCAAATTTAGATTATCACTGTGTAACACAATTTTTGTCCTTTTATGCCTAGAAGTATGAAAATGGCTAATATTTCCTTCAAACTTTGCTTTTGTAACCAGGATAATGATATTTCTGAAATTTACCTCTTCCCATTGGGAAAACTGACAAATATAAACATTCTCATTCATGTAAAGTAGGAACAAAACAACATTTGATTCAAAAGTAGCATTTATTTATTTATTCTCGGATTACACAAGAGAGACTGCAAGAAATTTAGAAGTGAGTAGTTTTTCATGATTTACATTTCTACTGTAAATTACTTTTACAAGTCAGCCCCCAAATATAGTCTCCTATCATGTTTTCATTAAATGATTCTTGTCCAGTTTTTTTTGTTACATTTTTAAATACTTCATTTTGTATAACATTATTTTAATCCTTTTACTAATCTGCCATCTTGAGGCCCTGTATATTTTTTGTCATTAAAAAAAAAGAAGAAATGTAATTAAAAGTATTAAATATTTTAAATTTATATTTCTGAGGATGCAAGAAAAAAAAATTCTGTTTAATTTATAGGTTTAATAAAAGGATAGTTGTTTGCAAAGAAGTCATGATTTGTTTATTCTTATCATTAAGTGAACATTTTCTTCCAGCAAAGGAATTATTGCTATGAATCATACCAGTTATATAAGAATAAATATTTTTAAAAGGTGTACAATTGTAAAAATGCAACAAAATTTTTTCCTTAGTATGTTTAAAATATCAAGTATTAGTAGTTTTTCTCATTTATATATTGAAGATGAATTAATAAGAAATATAGATTCTTCAAAAGATGTAATTTCAGATTTGTTACATTTGATTTACATGGTGAATTTTAAAAACTTTTCAAATGAAATCTTATTTTAAATGTTTCTTCTCCCCCCCCCTTCTTTTTCAATCTTTTCAGGACAAGAATGCTTCACCCAGAACTTCTCCGAACCTCAAGAAAAGTTCTGTCATCCCTGACCACCAAATTGATGGGACAAAGAAAAAATTAATTGCTGATCAAATCCGTCAAAAAATGCGAACCATCATGACTCCTCTTCAGACACCAATCTATAAACCTGAGAAGTATCGTCCTCGGGGCAAAGGTCGGCCTGTCAAGAGTCCACAAGCACTCTCAACCCCAACTGGAATGGTCTGTAGGAGTAATATTTATTTATTGTAATATCTTTTCTGTTGCAATGGAAGAAAAAGTATTTCATTTGAATTTTAATTATACGGATAAACTTTCAAGTTATTTTATACTTGTTAATTTATTTGTATTAAAATCACTGAAACTGGACTGGCTGCCATGGATATTTCTCCTTACTGCTTTACATAGTCATATCCAAACATGTTTAGAATATCTTGCTATGGCAAAAGACTATCACTATATTGATGACACAGCATTGGTTGAAAATTTTTTTTAATTATGAAATAATTTTCTGACTGTATTTTTGTCTAAATTTTTTTGACCCACCATTTTTTAAAAACTCTTTAGTTTAAAAAAATATAAAGATCTAATCTAATTTCATTCATAAAAAATACTTTTACAATTCCAATCAAAATAGGAATAAAATAATTTATTTTTATTCAACCATTTGACTCATTTACATTTCCAGTCATCTAATCAAATGGCTGATCTTTCTCTTATCTTGCCAAAATTAATCTCAAATGAAAAAAATTATACCTTATACCAGTGTTTGATTAATAATATACATTTACTATATCATTTCATTACTATTGTTTTTTTTTTCCATTTCTTCTTTGCATGTATGTACACACACAGTCACACATAGTGTAACTTTATATAATTATTCTAACCTGTTTCCATTTCTTAATATCTTATCAAATACTTTTCTTTTTTTTTCCTTTTAATAAAAGAATTTGGTTATTTCTCTCTTGTATTGAATTAATTTGACTTACCTCAAATATCTGTTACGTTTTTTGTTACATACACTTTGAGTTCTCTGAATAATTACCTTCTAACATACCCAACAACCCCTACAATGATTCTTTATGGAGATAAATATTCCTGAAAATTTGGATAGTATTTTTTTTAATTATTAAAAATGTATCTGCTTAATTCTCTTTATTTCTTTATTCAGTTTGCATTGTTGCATTTTCTAGTTATCATTCAAGTTTGATTTTTATAGATTTTTATCAGATACAAAGGAACCAGAAAATTAGAACAATTAATGTACTATTAATGCAAAATTATTAAACCTAGTAATGTAGAACTAATAAAAATAAGTTAAATCTATGCTATATTGCATGAAGATGACTAAAAAAAGGTCTGAGTTTAAATAGTCTGAAGTCTCGGATTAAATCTTCTGTTTAAGTTTTTCCTTTTCAATTTGTATCAAAGGGTAATCCACGTTATCATTAGAAAAAAAATCTTTTTTAATAATGATCTTTAGATTTTCTTGTTTACTCACTTTTTGTTTTTTAATTTCTAAGGTATTTTGATATTGAAGTTATTTTTTCACCATAAATTGGAAATTTATATTCAATTACCAAAGTGTATTAATCTTTTGTGACTTATACACTTACTGATACCTGTTGGATCTTCAGTTGAGAATAGCTTTCATAAATCTATTTTTAATCTCAAAAGCAATATTCATTTTGAGGGATAAGTTTGCTGATTGTAACTGTTTTGTAAATTTTTCATTGAGGATAATGTAATGAATTAGGGAACTAAAAAAATATTTACATTAATTCTGTCTTTTTTTAATAAGGTGTTTTGAATGTAAGACAAACCTAAGGAGGATTCCAAAATTTGTTGAACTTATTGTTTTTGCTGCCACAATATTTTGGCTGATCTATTCTTAGGCCTTCGACTGCATGATCCTCTATGGAAAAAGGGTTAGGGGATGTTTCTCTCTTTCTTTCTCTCCTTCTTTATAGTTGTGTCCAACTAATATACTAAAACTGATATACTAATCCTCACACTATTATGTGATGTAAGTGATTCCATATTTGATGCATCCTTATTAAGCAAAGAAATCCACACTGACCTGAGCTTTGTACATTCATCAGTAAGGCTAATGTATGCAGTGTCTCCATTTTTTTCATCTTCCAGCAGTGCATCTTGTCTACTACTTGAACTCATCATCTCAAAATGAAAATATGATTCCTTCCCCAACCAGATATGCTTTGCCATACCAGGTTTGCTTTGCCATACCAGGTTTTTCCACTTTACCACTTTAGACATAGCTGTCCTAGGTTCCTTCAGGAGTCAGCTAGTTTTGACCTTATGTTCTTTTCCACATTTGCACAAGATGTTATACATGCAGTTTATTGTCATTGATGTCTCTCATGAGGGACCAACTTTACAAAGTAGGTTACAAAGAGTAGTTATGCTGTTGAAAACTACTCTTTGAATTTGTTCAGCCACTCCTGAAAAAACAAAAAAACAAAAACTTCTCTCTTCATACACCTGAGAAAGTCTGAAGAATGGATTGGTTAAAATGTGGTAACGAGATCAGTCGTTCAAATATCTTTTATAATAATAATGACTCTTCTCAAAATGACAGAATAAAATGAGGAATGGTTCCTGTTGGGAAAAAGTACAATAAAACATATTGCAATCAGAATGTGGATTTTGATGTCTCTTAAGCACCTTCATTTTTCTTTTCCCTTCTCACAGGAAAGTTTAGATTCTGAAGGCGGCAGTGGAAATGCTGATGACCAACCTTTACAGTTGGTTAAAAAACCTGTTCAACATCCAAGTAGGGAATCTTCTCCAAGCTACAAGCCACTCAACCTAAAGACCACTCCTACTCCTCTCCCTTCTGATGTTCATATTATGAAAAAGTTTGAGGTAGTCTACTCTATACAATTGTTTCTATACCATTTTATTTATGAAGCTGTTATACCTTAGTGCTATTTTACAGGAATTCAATTTATAATATTGTGTTATAGAATTTGTCACCTGAATATGTATCTGAAGATTTAAGTGTATGCTGTTGTCTTTTTCTTATTAAAAGGACAAAGGGAAAATTCAAGAACTAATTCTAAAGACTACTTAATTGACTACAATAGTCAGCCCCAAATGATTTTATCAGAGAAAATGGTTTTCAAATCGTGAACAAATAAAATATCAAGTTCTTAAAAAGAATATTATATTTGTTAATTAAATTTAGACAATTGTTTTTTTTAAATTTTCAACAATAACTTTATTGAATAACTTATTTGCCATTTTGTTTCATTGTTTTCTGCCATTTCAAGCTACATCATAATTTTATCCTTTCACTCATTTTTGTCTAACAAAAACTACTCTGGATGTCTTTTAATCTTCCATGGAATTGACTTTTTTTTAATTCAGAGAAATCTCTAAAGATATATTTTACCTTTTATGTTGTAAAATATACTTTTCACTGCTTATCATGATTTGTTCCAACACAAAAATGTTTTTATGTTTATATAGTGAATTGCAAATGGAGTCCCCTCCCCCCTTAGAAAAAACAAAAAACTAATGCACATCAAAATGACTAACATAACGAATATGGAGCAAATTTGTGCATGTTGCCTCTCACACTCTTGAATTGTATAAATGTTGATTATTTTCAATTAATGTTTTGATTTGATTATTCTCATTCTCAGTTGGTCTGTCTGACTCTGGTCCACCTGATTCAGTGAGAAATTTCCAACTTGGTTCACCATTTTTGATTCATTCAGTCATTTACCATATCTCCATAACCTGCACAAAAATATTTTTTTCTTTGTCATGATTTTTACTTTTTTAAAATAATAAAAAGAAACAATATAATATACCAAAAATGTTGCCGCTTTTCTTCAACTTCAAGCAAATAGAAAACATTGATTTTTTTTTTGGGGGGGGGGCAATTTTTTCAAAATTATAGCTTGTATTACAGCTGTCACAATATAATTGAAAGTGTTCCTTTAGAATGAAAGTTAAAAGACTCTTAATGACATCTAGTAACAAAAATTAGAACAGTTTGGTCCACCCAACTTAGTGATAATGGAACATCATTAGTTTGGTTTTCAAGGCATTGAATGTGACCAACCAGTTTTTTGCCCACTGAGCTGTTAGTGAAGTTAGATAAGAGATCAGTTGCCAATCTCTAGTCATCAAGAGTTTTGGAGGTGCACCGATATACCATTGTATCACCAGCATAAATATTCATAAATGATCAGCGTATACTCTTATGTAGATCATTTATGCAAAGTAGAAAGAGGGTTGGACCAAGAAGCAAACTTTGGGTGATGCATGTGTTGACTGCTTGAGTCTTGGAGAACAGACTGTTAATAACTACCTTCAGAGACCTATCCATTAGGATGGACTTTATAATTGAGGAGGCTTTTCCAGTGATTCCATAGCTAGAGATCTTGTGTAGTAATCCTTTATGTCACATTTTGTCAAAGGTTTTTGAAATATTTAATGTGATTGTCCTTGAGATATGTTTGTTGTGTTAGTGTCTCACTAATTCTATGAGAAATGGTACTAGGATGATCAAAATCTGTACTGTTTGTTGCTCAAGAGGTTGTTTCTATTGATCGGATTCAACCATTATTGTTGATTATATAGCTTCAAACATTTTGCTAATGACAGGTGGCTGATGCATCTATATTGTAACAGGGATGAGCACTATTAGAGTTATTAAAAAATATTTTTAATTAAGGTAATATTGCTTTATACTCTTCAATAACATTTTGTGACATTTAAGGAATTGTTACTGATTTTAATATTCCAATGCTTTGTTTATAGTCTTTGGTTTATGAGGAATACCATAAAGTACAAAGTAATTTATTATTCTAATAAGAAATTGTTAAATCTTAACTCCCCTTTTGACTAATTAAAGATAGGGGATGTAACTCTTAATATAAAAAAAGATTTCAGATCAATCCATCTTTTGTTCTGTGGGAATTTTTGAATTCTAGTAAAATACTTGTTCTTGCCACAGAAAATTAACTTATCATTTCATACTGTCATTAGATTGTACTATTGCTTTTTTGCATTAATGTAACACTATTGTTTTAATATATAATACAGCCATGCAATTTATATACAAGTCTCCCCAAAAGAAGTAACCAAAAAGAAAAAAAATATTTTGATTGAAATAACTTTTTTATTCTAAAGTACTAGTGATTGGTTACTGTTTTTTTTTTTTTTTTTATAATATCTGCCATTATTTGTGGTAAATGAACTCTGAAATAAAAAAACTAATATATGCAAAAAAAAAAAAATCAGCTGAATTGCTTGAGAAGCAAAATTGAACCAAATTCTAGACAGTTTTACACATATCTTAAGAATTTATATTTTCCAATTTTACTTCCGTTCTGCATTATTGCAATACATTGTATACTTTTTTAAAAGTATGTAATGTAATGTTAGCAACATGTAGATAATCAGATTGGATTTTATCATTTTATCTTTACAATAGGGAGATATGTAAGTTTACACTCTCTCTCTCTAAAACATATAAAATACTGAGCAGGCTATGTACCCATGGTAGAGCTGCATCAAAGACTATGATACTCTAATTCCACAATTCATTGTTCTCCCCAGCCGTGTTTTTCCAGTCACTGAAATATCAGTTGAAGAAGATCCATTATATGTCCACAGGGAAGAAAATTTATCTGGGCCAATGTTTTTTTAATTTTACCCATAGGGTAGAATATACAGAAATTAAAAATAGAATAAAGCTTTACTTAAATGTAAAACAATTTAAATTAAAAAACAAAAAAAACAAAAAAAAAAACATAAATTCTTTAAAAATATTTTCAAACTAGGATATTCATTGAGACAGAGTGGTGCTACCTGTATTTAACTTCCTTGATACTACTATAGTCTGTTGGCTCTCCCTTCCCTATAGTCTGCCATGGGAACATTCTATACATATACATATTTTTTAATTTTTTGTGATACTTTGTTTATTTTCTACCTTCTTAAATAGTGTATAATTTGTAAATTTAATTAAAAGATCACATACAGGAGTTCAGTTTACCATCTGTCATAGATAAGATTCCTCTGGGATTAGCATAAGTCTATGAAAACCATTACCATCATCCTCAAGAACACACAACAAACTTTTGAGACTTATTTCAGGAAAAAAGCTGCATCCTTGATGCTGGCAAATATGGTAATTAAAATTTGTAATAATAAAAATGATGGCTATTTTTCTAAAATCAATTAAAAATATTCCACATACCCAAAAGTATCTTGCTCTTGAATAATTATTATGAAATATCTTTATCTTTAATAGAATGGTGATGATGAAAAAGATGATAGAATTTCATCGAATGGGCAGCCAAATGAATTGACTGCTGCAAGTTCTAACAGCAGCAGTTCAGAATCTGAGTCTGATTCTGGATCAGGTGAGTCTCTTATAATTTAGATTTTGATCAAAATATTTTTAAATCAACCACAATTTTTTAGTATCAATTGCAATTATAAATTTGCAATAATTCTAAAGATTTCTTTATCTGCTGTCATAATGTGAGTAAACCTTCTTTATAACAAAATAGTTCATCCAATTATCAGAAGAGATTAATATACAAAATATCTAACGCAATCATTGGAGGAAAGCTTACATAGTTTGTCCTTATTGGAAAAAAAGGTTACATAGTGTGTGGATGAGGAATGTGCTGTAATGTTTTTCTAGGAGTAAAAATTGGAAATTGTTTTTATGAAAATGACTTATTGTGAGGATTTTTGTAAAAGTTTTTTTTAAAGATTTTTTTTAAATATATATATATATATATATATATATACCGCTTAGAGTATGTGCATATTGTATTAAATTTTACTTGTGTGATGAATGCAAGCCCACATATATACGTTATTCCCCACTCCCACAACAGAACCCAAAGCAGACACACATAGAAATACACGTAGGCGAAGTCTAAAAATAGATTCAGACCCAGTAAGATAGCACATAAAAGAAACAACGTGATTGGTCAAAAGCAGCCAATCAGCAATCGAGAAAATTAGGCGCCACAAAGGAGACGCGTACGTGAAAAGAAGAAGAAAAGCAGTTTTATCGGAGAGACCAGCGGATGGAAAGTCACACCAACGTCCATGTTCCAGGCAGCATGCTGAGACGACACATTCCCAGAGGCAGAAAAGCAGACCAACCACTCAAATGCCAAGAATGTGAAGATATTCCAGACACAATTGGCCTGAACCCCTTGGACATCATCGCCTTAAGAAAAAATCCTGAATATAAATATAAGGCAGAGACTGTGATCCCAGTTGAAAACCTAAAGCTCCAGTTGCTGAACCAAAAATACAAGAAAAGAGACTATTATCGCCTTTGGTCGATAAATGCATATCTCATAAGTTTATACCCCAAAAACCCCCAGTATTACTATGATTCGCAAACACCCAATAATATTATGTTCTTGCACACACCTTTCCATAATTGTAATACTAGACAATTGAGACTATACCCCTGTATATGTGTGAGACATTGCATTTGTTAATATTTGTCGTATCCCAACTAAATATGTGTTATAGCTTACATGATATAATATCTTTATTGTCGTTGCCATATACATGTTCTTGTTAATTAAATATTATATTGTTCACAATGTCATTTCGTTTATTTATGGTCAGCGGTTAGCCGAATGTGTTATTCCAAGAACCCGGGAAGCCTAATTCAATTAGATCATAATTGAGTTGGACTTCGCTTACTTTCTTTTCTTTTCATATTATCTGCTGATGATTTAATGATGTAAGGGAAATAACCCTAATATTTATTCAGTAATCCCATAATGGAAGGTTATTTGGGGAATATAAGATATAAACGAATCATCATGCAGAGTACATGGATCTTAGCCTGGTGTTGGTTGTCCCCCATCACAATATTAATACCAGATGAGGATCTATGACACTTGTTAATTGTAAATGTTTATTAGATTATTTAAACATTCTGTTGATGTATATACATTTAATTTAAATTAAACAACAATTTATAATCTTTTTTATAAAATTTTCAAGAGCACTTCTTGCACATGATCTTCCATTTGTATTTTAGATTCTTCATTTTCAAATATAATTAGATTTTCTGTTTGTTTTTATTTATTTTAATTAGATCATTGATTTGTGTGTGTGTGTGTATAGATATATAGATATGAAAATTTCACAAGCTGCGATGTGATTTTCGCTTCTGCATTTCGTATATACGAGTTTGTCGTTACTTGTATATTTTCATGCAGCAAGGGCGGACTATCATTGTTGTTTCGTCCGTGTGTTTGATTTATTGAAATTGGCATCTTTGATAATGGCTTGTGTAAGGTGAAAGCTTAGACTGGATTTAAACATGAATCAATATGGTGTTTTCCTTTCGTCTTTCAGCAATAATGTGATTAAGCTTATCAGACAATATGAAAGGAACTTACTTAAAATAAATAGACAAAACTTGTCCATATTATTTAATGAAACATGCATTAATGAAAAATTGCTGCCTAAATATACACAATATATATATATATATATATATATATATATATATATGTGCATACACACAGACACTTCACAATGATCTAATATAATGAAAGAGATTAGAAAAAATTCTGATATTTGGTAATTTTTCAAAAGTAGGTTGGGCTGCAAACTTTTCACCACCTTCTCAATAGATTTTTCCATATTACAGTGAGTGGATTGGTTTTATTTTGTAAAAATAAGAACTGCTACAAAGAAAAGATCCCATTTGTGGAGAGATTTTTTTCAATATTCTGTGCAAAAATATTTCTAGATTCTGAGAAATCATTATGTGTCATTTGGTTTCATATTCTCGTTATTATCTCTTTTAGATGTAATAACATATTCTTGTTAATTTATACAAAGATTTTCATCAAAATTGTTTTATCACAATGTTTTGGCTGATCTACTCTCTAGCAGTTTGGAATGAATAAGAAATGAGAGTTAATTCTAGTCATGTTCATTGAATGAGAAACGAGAGTTAATTCTAGTCATGTTCATTGAATGAGAAACGAGAGTTAATTCTAGTCATGTTCATTGAATGAGAAACGAGAGTTAATTCTAGTCATGTTCATTGAATGAGAAACGAGAGTTAATTCTAGTCATGTTCATTGAATGAGAAACGAGAGTTAATTCTAGTCATGTTCATTGAATGAGAAACGAGAGTTAATTCTAGTCATGTTCATTGAATGAGAAACGAGAGTTAATTCTAGTCATGTTCATTGAATGAGAAACGAGAGTTAATTCTAGTCATGTTCATTGAATGAGAAACGAGAGTTAATTCTAGTCATGTTCATTGAATGAGAAACGAGAGTTAATTCTAGTCATGTTCATTGAATGAGAAACGAGAGTTAATTCTAGTCATGTTCATTGAATGAGAAACGAGAGTTAATTCTAGTTCATGTTCATTGAATGAGAAACGAGAGTTAATTCTAGTCATGTTCATTGAATGAGAAACGAGAGTTAATTCTAGTCATGTTCATTGAATGAGAAACGAGAGTTAATTCTAGTCATGTTCATTGAATGAGAAACGAGAGTTAATTCTAGTCATGTTCATTGAATGAGAAACGAGAGTTAATTCTAGTCATGTTCATTGAATGAGAAACGAGAGTTAATTCTAGTCATGTTCATTGAATGAGAAACGTGAGTTAATTCTAGTCATGTTCATTACTTTCACTTATGTGTATATATCCTTAAGAAAGGTATGGACCCATCTTATCCTCTCCAGCTATAGGTTAAATAGTAGGAATTGTATATGAAAAATTATTCTTAAGAATTGTTAATTCACTTGTAAAAAAAAAAAAAATTATTCTTACAATCTGAAATGTGTTTTGGCTTTAAATAAGCCACAAAGGTTTTATGAACCATAAAATAACACAAATCAGTCAATTGCTCTGCAACCTTCCTCAAGTATTGAATTTTGGACTGTCAAATAAATATTATTGTAATGAAGGTAGACAGAAAAGTTCAACAAAAAACTCACATTAACTTCTCTCTGCCTAATAATCTTCTGCAAATACAGAGTGACCTCAAGCTAATTCCAACTGTTATGAAGAGAAGCAAAATGGAAAAGAAACCATCATATTTGATAGATACAAACAATTTCAGGATAAATTCTCTGTGAATAATAATTCCTGAATCAAACTCCCAAAATATCTGGATCATGAAGAATGTGAAAAAAAGTCAAGACACATAAAAACTCCAGAAGTTGAAAAGCACAATTCTGGAATATTCCAATGTTCAGTTATAAACACCAGTTCAGTATCTCTGATATACTTAGACATAATAACCTAATTGAGAAGGCTGCCATGAAAATCTCTATACCACAGGTAGATAGGCTGACATAAGAAGTTAAACTGCCTGTGGAGAAATGAAACCTCACATGAAAGGTAAAAATGGTTATCAAAACTATAGACTTTATAATAATATAATCAAAATAACAACAAAAGCAACACAAGGGAATGTTTAGAGAAATTGACAAGCCTCATAGGGGATAGTAGTTACTATAAACTAAATAAAGATTCAATATTAAGAATGAAAAAGAAGCTATTAGCATATAAGTATGATTTTTGTAAAATCTATAAATTCAGTTTGTCTGTTACTGAGAGTCAACATATTAAAGAGATTCTTGGCAAAAATAAAGAAGTTCTCCTTCTCATTCAGTAAACTCAGATGATAAGCTCTGACATTGGGAGACTGATTATCATTATTTCTGCACAGTGATATGATAAAAACTGGAATCTCATTCAGTATTTGGCAAATATACTAGTATCCTGATAGACAACCTAATTAAAATGCTAATACTTTCAATTTAATTTTGCCATATCAACAGGATATTGTATGGCTTGGGCATAATTGTCTACAGAGAGGGTCAGTATATAAATGGAGTACTTTCAGGAAGTGTCTTTAAGAATAACAATTCAATCAAATGAAAGCAGCAACTAATAAAGTGTCATGAATTATTTAAAGTAAATGTTGTAATATGTAAATTTATAAGTTACACGAGTTCACATTTCTTATAAATAATAACAGGATCAAATTCAACAGCTGTCATCTGATCTAAAACAGTGTTATCAAAAGTTTGCAAAAAAACCTTTTTAGGTCTCTATTAGCTTATCTAACTAATGACAAAGTGTAATATAAATACTTTATCAAGCCAAATGCAGGGGACGAAACACGTCAGCTAAGATACGCTTTCCTTTTGTCTTTATTCATATTGTCTTTTACAGATATATTCTTTCTGAAAAATTTTACAAAATGTATATATATTTTTTTAATCAATTCACCCATACTCACAAGGCGCGATAATGTATTCAAATTATTTTCTCTAGTTTAATTCATGAATTAGAATCTCCTGCATTAAAGTGATATTCAAATTGAGTCAGTTGCCTGAAATGTAATAAAACTGGCAAGGATAAGAATAAGGATCAAATAACATAAAATTATGTCTTTTCTTTTCCCACTTTTTTCTTGTATAATTCTCAAAATGGCATGATATTTAATTGTTTTTGTGTTGACGTTTTACATTATGTATCATCTTCCATTTTGACTAATAATTCACAATAGTTTAATGTATTTATATCTATTTACATTGTTCGGACTGTTGTCCTCATCTTTGTTGCCATATTCACAATATTTTGGCTGTTGTACACTCCAGTCTTTTTACAATGGTCGACATGTTGTGAATATGGCAACAGAGTCCAAACAATGTAAATAGTGTAAATAATTACAATAATGTAGACAGATATTTATATCTCCAGAAGTAAATTTTATTCTGTGAATGCTTTTTCTATATTCTAAAATGATCATTTATGGTATCCATTCTCATCCTAGGTTTTGTCATGGAAAGTATTATTTTCTCAAGAAGAGTTTAAATCTTGGGAATATAGCATCATCTGATCTTAGAGTTTCACTGAAGTGAATTGAAGATTGAGAAACAATGAATTGTTTTTCTTATTTCTGTGTCCCCCCCTTTTATTTTTATTTAATTTAAAATATTTTGTAGCTTGATTCTGCTAGGTGATTCCCTGTTTATACTTTATTGCAAAATTACTGATATTCAGTTTTGGTTTAAAAACAACAAGAGAATCAGCATTATCTAATTAACTGATAACATTATGTGCTTCATGTATTTCAACCACTGTTGGCTTTTATTCTATTCTACTTGGAATAAATTAGCATTTCATTTAATATTTAATTGATAACATAAAAAATGTTACATGAAATCATACACAAATTAAAAGTAAAAATATCTGTGGAGGATGACAGATATTTGTATTTTTTTTCTTCAGCAACTTGGTATCTTTTAAGATAAAATTCAAATTTACTGAATTGCAAGCCATCTTTAAATTCTTAATTCAGTCCCATATTGCTTTCTAAACTTGGAATCTATTCTTCCAACCCTTTGTCTTTTTATATGTAGTCATGCTTTATAATTCTATTTAATCACTGCAACATTGTTCCAACTGATTCTTTTTGTTACACATAAGTTACAATTGTTATTTAATTGTATAAATAGACAGAAAATTCAGTCATGTTTAGAGGATTTTTTGAATAAACATAGAAATATTAATAAATTTAATGTAATTTATTTGTATTTAACAGATAGTGACAGCTCAGATGGCTCTGACAGTGAATCTGGGTCCAACAGCATAGAATCAGATGATGAGCAATTGACACGTGACAGTGAAACCAGTGTAACTTCTTTGTCAACAGGAGATAAACGATCCGCTGATATTAGTGGAACTGGCTCTGACAGTGTGTACTCTCCCTTCTCCTCTGTTTTTTTTTTTTTGTACATAATTGAATCATTCATATATCAACAACAATATTTTTGAAACTTGAGTAATTTTCCTCCAACAGAAAATAAATGAGTTCTCATTTTATGTCAAGTTGGGACAATCCATAAATCATGCAAAAACTTTAAATATTTCAGGCATCATGTAGGAATGAATAATCATACTCTGAATTGTAAATATGATTCATATAAATAGATGCTGAAATAAGTATTTTTAAAATAATTTTTGCTAATGAAAATTTAAATAAGTTACCAATTTTTATTTTTGTAAGATTTTGTATATTTGCTGCTGTAATTTATTCAATATTTGATACGATTTGAAATCATTAAAATAATTCCATATTTTATTTTAATGGCACTCTAAGGGACATAATTCGATTTTTAACAGCAACACTAATGAAAATTTTTTTCAAGCTCCAACGCCTGTAAAGAAGCGGAGAGTGATTGATGAGAAGGAGCTGAGGATACCTTTAGAACATAGTTGGCAGCGACAGACCAAGATCCGGGGTATTGGGAAGCGTGGTATTGTGGGAGAAGTTCTTTATCATGCTCCATGTGGTAAAAAATTACGCACTTATCCTGATGTCATGAAGGTAACTTTTCCTTTTTTTTTTCTGTTGAAAAGCTTAATTATCGGCATCTGTTACTTAGTATAGATGTAAATATTTCATGCTATAAACTGTTACAGATGATTTAGCCTGTGGAATTTTTTGCCTTTGAATATGTTAACATTTTTACAGTGGCTTTTATAGAATTATAAGAAATATTTGTTGATATGATTCCAATTTTTAAAAAGTTGAGATGTGAATTTTGGAGTTTATTTTTCTTTCTGTCAATATACATAAGTAAAAATAAATTTAATACAATATCTACAGGTAAACTAAACTTTAGAAAACACATTTAGTATATTTATAAATTTGTTAATACCTTCATTTCTTGGAGTGTGTGATAAGACAATTGGATAGATATTAATTCAATTAATAAACAAATGTTGTAAAATGTGTGAAGTTCAATAAGAATTTACATGGAAATTAATTTGACACTGGGATAGATGTAGCTTTTGTAAAAAACACAAAGTTGTATTCTACTGAATTTGCCAGATTTTGTTTCATAGAATGCAACCAAAATCTGTGTGCATGTACACAATAATTATGTACAATGCCAAAAATTCTATTTGGAATTTATGTTATTTATTTTTTCTCTGAATTTCTGGAATGGGGAGTTATTGCTATTTACATTCAGATTAATGTCCTCATTTTTGTTATTACCATCACATCATTTCATTGTGCCCTCAAGCTAACAACATAGATTAAATAAAAGGTTCAATTTGAAATTCCCTGAAGCTTACTCAGATCAACAAACATCTGAAGAAGGCCAGGGAACATAATCAAAACATGATGGCAAGAAAGATGAGGACATTAGATCAAATGTAAATAATGTTAACTATTTATGAAGTCTGTGAGACACCTCAACCCTCAATGGGAATATTAAAATTTTATATTAAAGAATAAATTTTGTACTTAATCTTTGTTATGCATTGTTAATGGTGAGGAATTAGTGCAGGTATTATGGACAAAATAGAGCTATTCTATATATATATATATATATATATATATATATATATATATATATATATATATATATATATATATATAATGTAAATGCATTGAAAATCAGGAAGAAATGAATTATCAGTGGTCAGGAAATATGCATTATTGATAGAATACGGTTAATGGATGTATTTTTTTAAATTTTGTTATGACTGTTTATGATGGTTAAGTGACTTTTTATTTTTGCAGTATTTGGAGAAAAATGGCATCACTGATTTGTGTAAAGAAAATTTTTCTTTTAGCACCAAAGCTCCAATTGGAGAATTCCTTGAAATGAGGCAGGGAGAAAATGTAAGTGGACTCTCAAGATTTGATGCCTATCATAAATATTACCAATAATTCTGTGATGCTTAATTAATAAATGTTATCATTTATTGGTATAAGAAAAGAGTTGATAACATTGAACATACAAGATTTGATAAAATACAGAAAATATCTATTTTTTGCAACTTAGTATTGGATGAAGTTAGAATTTTAATATTTTTTTACAAAGTAGTTTGTGTGTGTGTGTGTGTGTGTGTGTGATGAAGAAAGCATTGTTAAAAAAATTTCAGCTTATTTTTGCAAGATCTGCACAAGATGCAAAACTACAAAATATTTATTGAATTAAGTAGCTAAATACAGTGTTAATTATTAAATGTATTTTATGATAATCAAACATAAACAGCCAGTTACTATTTTCTTTATATTGACTGCCAGAAGTCAATTACGAAAATGCCAACTTTATAATAGCTGACTTAGGCAATAAAATATTTCACGAGTTGATTTATAGTTTCAGCTGAAGTCTTAAGATTCTTTTCACACTAAAAGTATCACTGAATAATAAACTCATTGTTAGCATGATAATAAAAACTGCCAACCACTAGATAACTCATGGTTGGCAGTCAATATGTTAAATTATAGGGGATAGGAGGTTACCATCTTACAATGCTTGTTACCTCCATATATAAGGTATATTTGATGTGGGTGTTTATTGGCCTTGTGTAATAATTGAAAGAAAATTCAGTGTTGACATGTATAAAATAAATCTTTATATAACACAATATACAGAAGGATAAGGTGAATGTACAAGTTTCAAGTATAAATGTCCTCTCACATAAAGAAAATAAAGAGAAATATAGAAGGAATCTGAGAGGAAATAATTTTTTATATATATATATATATATATATATAATCTCCAAATGTAGTAGCTGTCACTTGACCATGTCATATTTTAGATATGTTTTTTTTTTTTTTTTCTTAATATACCAAGGAATAGATTAGCCACATAAAGTTACCAGATAGTTGTGTAAACGTCATTTGGTTTCTGGTTATGTTACGATGACCACAGCATCAGAAAATGGACAAAATTAATCTAATGGATGATTTTGGTTGGTTTTCCATCTGTTTATATGCACATTTAGCTGTGAGCCAACAAGAAGTGAGCAGCTGTATATCGTGTTTGTGAAAGGTTTCTGATTGGTTGGTTGAACTGTGGCTTTGTTTGCCTGGTGACTTTTATTATCTGTCTATTTTTAGGGATGGTGAAATTTTGATCTTCGTGCTATTTTTTATTATTCTCTATCACTACAAAAATTTACCTGTTTAGTGATACACATAGTGAGTCAAGAATGTTGTTTATGAATCAATCTTCATTTGTAAAAATTGCCACTAGTTTATCATTTTAGCTTCTTATATTTTCTACACAAAAGTTGATGTTATTTTGTTGTTTCTCTTAATTATAGAAATATGTGCTATTGTCAGAGCATGAAGTATTTGATAGATATACACAGGTACAATTCAACCGTAGCCGGAGACACAAAAATTTGGATCCTGAAGCAGCAGCATTAAAAAAGAAAAGAAAACAAGAAAAATACGGTAGGTGGGCTTCCAGAGAAACTTTCAATTCTACTACATTGTGAATTAAAAGTAAAATCTAATGCTTTGTTACAAATGTTGTAATTTTAACTTTTTACAAAATTAACAGAAAATTATATCAATTTAAAAAAAAAAAAAATCTCTAAAAAGTACACTTTGAGAAATATTGTTACAATATTTCACAATGTAGCAAATTTTCAGTAGCAAAGTCCAAAAATAATTATGAAATTCTATATAAACTAGAAAACATATTCAGAAGGAAATATTTTATTCTTTTGTAAAGATAAAAACAACCTATTTGAAATAATTTTTCTTTTTTATCCTTTTTGAAATTATTAATTATTATTAAAAATAATTTTTCAGCTATAATGAGCCTAAGGAAACTTGAACTCTTGTCTCAGTCTTTCTTGGGAAGCCTGTCTGAATGCTACAGTTGTTTTATCAGTTGGACCATGTAAACATGCTGGATACAGTCATTCAAATCTTGCTCTTTATTTTCCTGTCTACCTCATACATCATTTTTTTTTTATTTATATACAGTTATATTATTAATAATAATATTTATCTTAATTTATTAACTAATTATGAATTATTTTTAGTCTGAAGCTTAGAGATGGGGACTCATCATTATCATCATACACTGATTTATTCAGATATAAATTTTGTTTCACGTAACTTGTAACCTTTTGGGAATGCAGAATGAAAATCTTCATGTAATCTATGTGGGTACGTTGTTCTCATTCCACTGAACCACTTTTTTATCCTACCCAATCCAGGGATTGAACTCCTTTACTATTCATGCTAGAGGAAATACTAGATCAATTAGTCTCTTTCACTGAACCAGACTATATGTAACTTTTTGAATTTTGGAGGATTGAACTTACAAGCACCAAGTTATTAGATCCACTTAATCAACATTTTTATCTACTATACCATGTTTTCTATATGCCTAGTAATGTGAAAAGGTTATATCTATTCTCCTGTTTTAGTTGATGAAGACACATGAGACCAGTAAGACAAATTAACATGTAATTTCCTCTATACATGAGCATCAGGAGGAGGACAATCTATTTTCATGGATTGAATAAAAAGATCAGTTTAAATTCCTTAGAAGCTTGCCAACTGTTATATAGGAATAAAGACACTTGAGTTTGAACATAGATCTTAGTCTGTCCTCTATTACTATTCGGATCATATTTCTACTCTATTCTTTATCACTATACAGACCACTATTCTCTACTCTATTCACTGTACTATTTCTCTGTATGGATTACTATTCGAGTGAGTATTATTAAGCAAGTACTATTAGTCCGAGTGATATTCGAAGGTGTTTGACCCCAGCATTGTTCAACAGCGTACTATGGTGGTATCTGTGATGACAAAGTCTCTACTACAATGAGCATTACGAAAGTGACAAGTATTTGTTGGCATCACAAGTGGCAATGAGTATTCACTGACATCACAAAACTAATTGTGTCAAAAGTTGGAGCGTATCACAACTGAAATGTTATAAAAAACATTAATCAATAGCTATTAAATTTTTTACTGGTATTTGTTTTTTTTGTTTTTTTTTAAATTTCAGTTGCTTTTTATGATTTAGACAGTGATTTTACAGCAGTCAGTAAGCAATTTGAATTAAAACTAACATTTAAAAAAGAATGAAAAGCAGTAGATCACAGGGTAATGAAATAGAAATATTTTTCAACATGAATGATTGCAAGCATTGGGTTTCCATGACCTAATCAGTAAGGCAGCTGTTACATTAAATTAGGCTTCTTGAGAAAAGAGATGTGAGTTCTGGTCTTGCTGGATGATGCTTCTTTATTTCCAATTCATTTTATTTACTAATAACCACAATACAATATTCTGAAAGTTGCAATAAAAAGCAACTGAAATTAAGATAAAATAAATACTAGTTGAAAAATGTTATTTTCCAACTATTAGCAATTCAGTAAAATTCTTTATGCATAATTTTTAAAAAAATTTTTAAGCATTTCTTTTTGTTTTTATATTGGCCGAAAAAGACAAGAATATCAAAGGCAATGACATTTAGTACTGAATCACTGATTAGTACTGATGTACAAAAATAATGTTTGTCTGATTTTGTACATTTTCTTCTTGTAGAAGCTGCAAGACAAGCAGCAGAGTTGAAAATACAAAAAAAAATGGAACGACAAAAAGAAAAAGAAATGGCCAAAAATGAGAAAAAAATTAAAGGTAAAGATTTTAAAAGATTTTATTTTGAATTTCTCTTGTTTTGTCCATTTTAGATTCATTCTTTATTCATTTTTTTGGTTTTTTTTTTCTTTTCCCTTCCTCTTTATTGTGATGTCCTAATGGATGACCTTATGTAGACCTCCTCTTTATTTCTCTTCCTATCACTCAGTCACTCTTTCTTACCACCCTCTTTTTGTCATTCAGAAATAAAAGCACAGTTTCCTTAAAATATTAATTATAATTCTACTCTTTGTTGAACTCCCCCATGAAGTACCCACCATCATTGCTTTGATACAAGGAGAATAGTATAGCATATTTAAAAATATTTTTGAATTTCTTTAAGAATAAGTTTAGGGAACTGAAGCCTTATTTACCTGACCACACCCACTAAGACATGTTGTGATATATGGTCTTATGTGCAGGGCCAGTAAGCATACACATATATATATATATATATATATATATATATATATATATATATATATATATATGGGCCAATGCAAAAAAAATTGCCCAATTCCCATGTTCACTCTTGTGTTTGTGTTGATATTATGCTACCCCCCCCACACACACACACACACACACACACCTCTCTTAGTGCAAGGAGGAAGGTGCTGCCACAGAGTTGAAATCTTTGGGAATGGGCTTTTCTCATCTCAAATGAGGAGGTTAGGCTTCTTTCAAATGTAGCATTTGTTTTTTTAAACATATATTTCATCACTTATTAACCAAGTTAAGAAAAGAAATGTGTTAGTTTTCCTTTTTTATAGATCTTACAAAACCTCATAAATCCTCATTAACTATAATCAGCTAGATATATTTAATTACAGAATTCTTTATTAATTGAAACATTGAAGTGTGGAAACTGAGTTGTCTTTTTTTTGTGCTAGTAACTTGAGTAAAAGGACTTTTTTATTTTTAAATTTATATTTTTAGGATATTCAAGTAATCCTTAGATACTTTTTTCTATGTTTTACTTTTTGTTTTTTCAAAATTTCAATTTTTCTCTTTAATGAAAAAAGTAAGTATATTAATTAATATGTGTAAAATAAAATTACTCAAATGAACATAAAAATAAAAGAATATTATTTTCAATTATACAGACACACGTGTGCATTCTTATTTGGAATTTGTCAAATTTTTATCTGTTTCTGTTATTTTATAGAAAACGCGTACCAACCTGTACGCATGGAAAACAATGTAGGTTAGTTCCTCTATTTGTGAATTTGCTTCAGTCTACAATGTTTGATAGTTTGAGAAAAGTTTACCTTTAATTTGGGGAAAAATTGTTTTTATTTTTATTCATTTTGAGCAGATTTTAAATTTTTTGGGCACAGAAAACTTTCTCTCCTCCTCTACCAAATTCTAAAATTAAAATTTTTTTCCCCTCCTAAAATTTAAATTTTATAAAATATTTTATGGTTTACTAAAATTAGTTTTACTTAAGTAATTGTTCCAGTGCTTTATTAGGCCCAAGTAATTCTTTGATATGCAAAAAAAATGGCGACTAAAAATGAAAAACGTCTTACAGATCTCATATTTAAAATTGGGGTATTGTTTTTACCCAAGTGAAAATTGGAGAATATAGCAACTAAAATGTTGTCTATATAAAAATAGATAATAACACTCCAAATAATAATGTACAATAATAATTCTCTATCTAAAAAAAATTCAAATACCTTAGTTGATTTTTAAGACAATGGAAAAGTTTTCTAGAGCCCTCTGTAATAATCTGGGGAAATAAAGAAAAGAAATTTCTTTTCTGTTTAAAGGTAAACTTGTTGATTTTTCTCCTTTGCTTATTGTTACCAAAATTGCTTGCCTGGTTATCTGTATTCTCATGCTACTGCTTTTATGCAAGTCTAACTTAATCTTTTGTGGCAATTTTTATTTTAAAATATTGATGTATTTGAAGTTTATTATTTTAGTGGGTTGAGTCTAAAGCATCTGATCTTTATTTTAAAATATTGATATATTTTAGTATTTAAAGTTTATGATTTTAGTGGGACATATGTAGAGTTCAAAGCATCCAATCTTTATTTGTAAAATATTGATATATTTTATCATCTTGGCTTGGCTTTTTTGTTTTATGTTATTATTTTTTGCATCTTTGCTTTTTTTTCTTTCTTTTTCTTTTTTTTTCTTTCTTTCTTTTTTTTTTGGGGGGGGGTGTTGAAAATTTTGTGAAGTTTAATTTGAAAATTGTCCTAAAATAAGTTTTATTTAATACTACTATGCTCTGTGTTGCATCATTTAATGTTTTTTTTCTCAGTTCAATATATATAATGGATGTTACTTTTTATACTTATGCTTTTATTTATATTTGTTCATTTTTTTCTTTTGTGAATTCATTTTAAATGATGTTTGCAATATATATTTATAACTGGTTTATATCAAAGAATAACGATATTGTGGCTTTATGTCATATCTATTCATTCTTCAATATTTTCTAACAGAATTAGAGACAAAATCTTTGAAAGGATATAGAAGAAATGAAAATAAAAATTCTATAATCAAGACTTTTATATAAAGTGTAAATTCAACTGGAGTCAGTCTGTATAGTTTTACCGACTACAACTCCAGTGATCCACTTAATTGCTTCCAACTCCACAGCCTTGGTTAATATACTGTGAATTTTTCTTAGTTTTTAGGTTGATAAAGAGAACAATTTAAACATAAGAGGAAAGATTATCTCTCCTTAAAGGAATAAAATTTTCTGTAAACCTTTTCTTTCTGTTTTTTTTTTTTTTTTTTAGCTCTCCCTCTTCCAAAGTTTAACTTAAAAACAAATTAATATAATTCACAATTATTTCTTTTATTTCATTTATAATTATATATATATATATATATATATATATATATATATATATATACAGTTTTGATTATTATATTGTATTTATATATGTTAATATTTATTTCAACATTTTCGTTGGCTATTTTTTTCTCTATTAGTTTTTTTTTGTACAACTATCTTGAAGAGCATTTGTCTTACTTTTACTTTCTGTTTTTGCCTATCTACTTTGCTTTATCTATTCTCATTTATTCTATCAATTGATAGTTTAGGTGTTAGTACTGTCAAAAAATAGTATAGATTAATTTTGATGTTCTTTAAATAAAGAGTTAGAAATATGGTAGAGTGTAGTATGAATTAAACTTGATCTTGGTCATGCAGTGTAATACAATATTGTAATAGAAACCCAATAACTATAATGTGTAGATAAAGGCAATCATTTGGGAATTCAATGACAAATTTTTCTCCTTCTCTCTCTCTCACTCTCTTTTTTTTTTAAGCAATTGAACGAAAGCAGCAAAAAGAACAAGAGAAACAAATAAAACAACAGGAGAAGATAAAACGACAGGAACAATTGAGAATGGAAAGAGAATTAAGAGCTCAACAAGTTTTGGAGGTATCTATATCTCTCTCTATCTCTATCTTTCTCTATCTATATCTCTCTCTCTCACTTGCACAATATTGACAAATATTTTTTTAATCTATTCCATTATTGTAAAAGATGTTGTTTGGATTACAAATTAAAGAGTATAAAGAAAGTCTCTTTTTCAGCAATTTCTTTTAAAAAATAATAATGTTTGAAGAAAGTTTCAGCTTTTTCTTGTTTGTTGACAATTGAAATTCCCAATGTTCCTAATTATTTAACATTCTTCTTGAAAAGAGATCTGCAGTCAAATAAAAATAAATAAAAGGTGCAATTAGTAAAAATAACTTTGTTTTATTTTAGTAATCTCTACTCCTATCAAAAGCAACTTTTTTCTGCACAAAATGATCACTTTGTTAGTAATTGTACTACTACTACCACCACCACCTTATGCTGCTTAGTGGAGGTGCATAAGATGATAAATGATCAAAATTTGGCATTTCATACACAATCTTCAAAAATAAATATTTGGCTAAACAAAACTGATACTTAAAACAAATGTATAAAAAGAAAACACTTATAAGAAAGTTAACCAATGTTTACAAATGTAATATAGATAATTTATTTGCTGTCAAATATAGCTAAATATTAACCAGACAATAATATATTAAAACTTGGGAGGACTTTTAGAAAAAAAAAATCAAATTATTAAACTTTCATTTAAGATATTTATAGCTTGAATTAAAAATGAAAGAAGATATAATTTAATCATTTAAAACTTTTTTGAAAAGGAACAAATTTTATTGAAAGTTTTTATAGGTTTCGAAACATGATTATAATTTAACATAAATTATACGACTGTTTATTCTGCTTTCAAAGATCAAAATTATGGACATAATGAAAGAAAAAGAAAAATGCATTTATATGAGATTAAAAGAAGTTTAATAATTTTGTATTAAAACTCACCTTACACTACACATAACTTAGTGTTGTCTCAGATATTTTATTGTGTCAATGACTGTTTCTATCTGTTAAACATATCTAAGTTACAATCTATCACTCAATGTTTGTTTTTTTTTTATTCCTTCCTATCCTCTTTCTTATTATTTTATCTGGTTACTTGCATTGTTTGCTTTTCTTTTTGTTTTTTTATGTCACTTTGCTACTTGTTATGCATCTGCACACAACATTATTAAGCTTTAGCTAACTTTGACATATTTCATGGGATAAGTATTGGTTAATGACTTTATTTTAATAATTAAATAAATTTAGGCTCTCAAGAAAACCTGAATGCTTATAAATTTAAAATATAATAAAGGTAGTGAAGTTATTTGTCTATATTTCTGAGATGAGGTATTGTAATTTACAATGTTTACATTGTTCAGACTGTTTTCCTCATCTTTATTGTCATGTTCAATCTACCCTGATGGGTGAAATAAAGGGTTCCGTTTGAAATTCCAATCACCTGAAGAAGGCTGAAGTGTATAACGACCGGAATGTTGTGAATATGGCAATAAAGATGAAGAAAACAGTCCAAACAAGTAAATAGCGAAGTTAGTTTTGATTTCGGTATGGGTAAATTAATTTTCCTTTTATACTTCAAATATAAACCCATTTTTAAAGTGAAATTAACTCTTTTTATGAAATTTTCTGTACATTTGTCAATAAATTTACTTGTTCATATTTTTTCAAAGAAATATATTTTCTCAATAGATAAATTTAGCCTCTCATTGTCTATACATGTTTCTCCCTCATTTATTTCCTCAATGAAATTGGTTTATGGTATTTTAGCATAATTTGTAAATTTGTATAACAATTTGTAATATAAAAAGTGACAATTTGTAATATAAAAAGTGACAATTTGTAATATAAAAAGTGACAATTTGTAATATAAAAAGTGACAATTTGTAATATAAAAAGTGACAATTTGTAATATAAAAAGTGACAATTTGTAATATAAAAAGTGACAAACCATTTTTATCACATCAATTTTCTTTTTATAATTGTTTTAGTATCTATGCAATTTTTATGTGTTAGCAGGTACTTGGCAATATTTTATGCATTTAAATATTATTCTTATTTTGTACATCTGCTATTGAGTTTTGTTTATTAAAAAAATATTAGAAAATAACTAAAATAACAATTCTGATGTTCATAAAGAGTTTGAATATACTTTTTATTATATCTGCATTATATTATTTTCATTTACATTTGGGCTAATATATTAGTTTTGTTTATCAATCTGTGTGTGTGTGTGTGTAACAATCCAGAAATCCCAATCATTTTTCATTAAACTCTATTTTTTACAAATTGGGATATCTAGTTGAAGAGACATGATTGTCTTATTTTTAACATATTTCTAGCTTTCTTATGAACATGTCTTTTGTACTTATGGCCATAACACACTGAAACATTGAATCTTATATGATCACTGAAGTTAAACCATGTTGAGCATGGTCAGTACCTAGATGGGTGACTGCTTGGGAATATCAGGTGCTGTAAGTTTGTATGTACAGGTGTTTTAAGGGATAACAACTTAAAATTGTTAATTGGAGAGCTGGTTCCAATTCCAATCAGTTTTATTATATTCACTTATTCACTAATTCTCCATTAGGAAAGGTGTGAATCCACCTCTTCTCTCCCCAACTAGTAGGCCTTCTATCAGAAAATAATTATTATCTCCAAAAATACTTTTACAATCCCCCAAAAAGTGGTGGCTTTAAATAACCTGCAAAATTTGTAAAAAAATAAATAAAAAAAACAAATCTGTCAATTTTGTTTTAAGCTGAAAAAATTAAAAAAATGCTTGAAAATTGGCAAGTCACCTACTTACTTACTTACTTAGAGACAAAAATAAATCTTGTTGCAGATTTCTATTTTTTTTTTTTTTTTTTTTAAACAAAGATCATCAAATGATTCTATTTTTAAATCAAAATTGCTTTGCTTCTTTCTCTTCTCCTCCCACAAAATTGACAACTGCTTAATGCTGTCAGGGAATTTAAGTGATGTGCATGTAAAATATTTACTATGATATTTCATCATTCTAAAAAAATATTCAACCCTGTAATTTAAAAATATTTTTGAATTTTTCTCAGTTGAGAATAATTTCTTTTATACCAAGAGATTATTGGTTCACATTCATAATTATTAATACAACATAATAGATGTGGTGGTCAAAGTGATTGTAGCTGACAGTGTACAAAACATTGGGCAGGGCAAAAGGCTTTGATTTTGAACCTTGTCTAATACTATAACTGTGTTGTTGATCAGTTTGTGATTGCAAATCATTTTAAAAATTGTTCTTGCTTTATGGCATGCAAAATATAATAAAAATGCCTAAGATTATTGCCTTGAAATGTCAAACTTTAATTTTGATGGAAAAGTTGAAGGATCTAAATAATGATAGTAGTGTTAGTGAAGAATGATAAGTTTTTGAAGAACTTAAGATTGCAACTGGTGTGTGTAAAGTTAGATGTGTTGAAAAACACTTTCCATAAGCAATTATAGTATTTTTGTTTACTCATACAATTACAATTGCCTGTTTCTTCACCCTCCTCCAAAATAATATCAAGATGTTTAAAATGTATTTTTTAATATGAAACTTTTAAAAAAAAAGTTTTTGTAACTGAAATTGTAAAGAAAAAGAAATATTTTTTTCTAATTTTAATATTTTTATCAAGTAGATTGAACTGCTGAACCCATTAATAAAATCTGATATTATAAACAAAAAAAATAAATATCCTAGAATATAGGTTTAATGCCAACTGTTCCATTTTTGTGTTGTGTTGCAATTCATTTGAAGAAATTACTTTAAAAGCAGAGAAGTTAGTCTTAGCTGTAAATTAAACCCAAATTGCAGATGGTTGTAAAATTAGAAGATTTCTTTTTTTAAATTTTTAAGATTGTATGTGAAGTAGGCAGAAACACAGTTTTGCAGATCTGCAGTCTTCTCTTCTTTTCTAGAAATAGTCACTAGTTCCAAACATGGTGATCTAGAATGGTATCTTTTCTGGGAATTATCTTTATTTCTTGCCATTATGTTACAATGAGGAAAAAACAAAAGTTGTTATTACTGTGTATCTTCTTTATCCAGATTTTCTTGCAATAAAATTGGATTTCTGTTGCACTGTATGAGTTTTAAACTTGTGCACTCTGAAATTTGCCGGAAATAGAAAACTATCCAGAATAAAAGTATTATAAATCATTTTTGCTAATTTTTATTTGGAGAACCTTGAAACATTTTGAAAAAAAGGAATTTTAACTTGGCATGATGATCCTTCCTAAATTGTCCATTTTTTCCTCTGAAGAAATTATTTCATTTTGTTGTAAAAGAATAAATAATGAGAATATAATTTTAAGAAAAACATTTTTTTAACATTTGAATGATTTTGTCTCATGATTTCTGTTTTCATTTAAGGAAAAAAAATGTTTAATTTTATATTTGTATTAATGTAACTTAAATATTGCTGATTATTGTCAACTTCTTACCCTTCCAGTCAAATCTCTTCTGGTATCATTTGGAACGAGTAAGTCAGTGCATGCATTCATCGATTAAACTTGAATCTGTTTTTAATGAATTTCAAAATTATCTGAATTTTCTTTTGTTTTTTTTTTTTTTTTTTTTTTTTTTTTTTTTCCTGCTGGGATTTATGCTGACATTCATTGAATGAAGAACATTGTTTAGTTGTAGTATCAGTAGAAACTGCTTGCTCAATTTGATGCCTTGCTAACTGGGATTTGACTATTTAAAAATTAGTACATTTGTCTTTATGTATATTGTGCTTTTTATTAAACCTTTTTTTTCTTTTCAAGTCTGTAATGTGATTTATTGTTTATGGCATTATCATCTTCACTGGACTTGGATAATATTTATGTTGTGTCAGCTTTTCTATATCTATATGACTTGATTCATTAAAATGAAACTTAGTTTCAGAAATATTTACATTGCTTTTAATTTCTATCATGTCAAGTAAATAGACAAAAGAATTTTGCAGAATTAAAGGTTTACCATATGAATAAGACTTAAAAAATTTGAAGGACAAATGGGATCATTAAATTAAAATATGTATTGACTTTAAAAATAACAATGTAAAAAGTGTGGTGAATAATTAAAGTAGAATATGTAAATTAACCAAATATATGTACACACATGTATAAATATGTAAACAAGCACATACATTACATCCATGAATACACACACAAACACACACACACACACACATATATATATATATATATATATATATATATATATATAATTATTTATTTGAAAATTATAACATAAATATGTTATAAAATTGCTCCAAAAATAGCCATTTTGTTTCAACACCACTAGTGTCTTATCAAGTGATGTTGAATGTAGAATAAAGCGTTTTAAAAGGTTCAAATCAATTAACCACCCCTCGCAAGGGGAAATGCTGTTACATAAGCTGGAATGACCAATCAAAATACAAGTATACGAGAATTCAAAAAACTTGAAAATGAACTAAGGTTATAATAACTATTTAATGCCTTAATGTTGGGGTTAGACTAAAATAGAATTTATTCTAACTAATAAGTATTAAATTATATGATAAAATTTAAAATTACCCATTTTAAAATTTAAATTTAATCTCTATTAAGTTTAAAATTATAAAATTACTGAGGAAAAAAGAAAGAATACTTATGTTATTCTATTTATTTTGTTTTTATTGAAATTAAGTTGGAATAAACGTTAATATCAACTGTTGTTCTGAGCTTCATGACAACATAGATACATTTGAATTCTAAATATAGGCAGGGGAGGATGACATCTTGCAAAAGACAATACATACACAATCAGATTATAATACATAAGCATGCAAATGTATTTAGATATTTCCTGTATCGTCACTTTTTTTTGTGTGTATATATCTCCATGACCTTTTAAAAAAAAACAAAAAAAAACATACATACCAAATGAAAGTTGCATCCAAGTTACCATGCACACAGACACTGATAAAGACACGTACATACATCCACATAGCACCATGAATCCATTCAAGGAATATTGGTGGGGGCATATGCAATCTTTTAATAGCGGTAATTATAAGTACAAGACTTCATTATCCAAGTATTTTTGGAGTCTAAAAGAAAAGAATAAAACACCTACTGTTAAATGGAAATTAATCAGGAGAGCCCAAACATGTAACTACCTATATGCCCTGTGTTATCTATGTCTTAATGAAAAATTTGAAATAATTATATTTAAAAATAAGACCCATCTCTTAAATCAAAGATGTGAACTGTTAACTGTGAACACCATTATAAATTTAACTTATTATAGGAGTTGTAATAGTTTCAACGATATGTCACTGTATATTTAATAGGTTATTACTTTTATTATCTGATGGTCCTCCTGTTGATGTGGATGTGTGTTGGTGTACGTGTACTGTGTTGTTTGTGTCTGCATGTGTGGATATGTATTTGTGTTTGTACTGCTGGATGTATATATGTATTTTTTTAATATATAAAAATAAAGAAGGAAAAAAAGGAAGAAAAAAGAGAGGAGGGTAAAATATATATATATATATGTCCAGGTATGTTGTGTATGTATATTTCTATTTACATGTACTTCTGTATGTATGTATATGTTTATGTGTATATATGTAGGGATATATGTATGTCTGTATGTATATATTCATCTTCACATACAGTGTATCACAAAAGTGTGTACACCCCTCACATTTCTTCAAATATTTAAGTATATCTCTTCATGGGACAACACTGACGAAATGACACTTTGACACAATGAAAAGTAGCCTGTCTGCAGCATATATAACAGAGTTAATTTATTTTTCCCTCAAAATAACTCAAAATATAGCATATTAAAAAGCTAAATCCCTGGCAACAAAAGTGAGTACACCCCTTAGGAAAAGTTGTCAATATTAACATACAACATGTCAACTGTCAATATTTTGTGTGGCCACCATCATTATCCAAAACTGCCTTTACTCTCCTGGGCATGGAGTTTACCAGAGCTTCACAGGTAGTCACTGGAATGCTCTTCCACTCCTCAATGACGATGTTGCGGAGCTGGCGGATATTTGAGACTCTGCGCACCTCCACCTTCTGCTTGAGGATAGCCCAAAGATGTTCTATTGGGTTCATGTCTGGAGACATGCTTGACCAGTCCATCACCTTTACCCTCAGCCACTTCAGTAAAGCAGTGGTTGTCTTGGAGGTGTGTTTGGGGTCATTGTCATGCTGGAACACTGCTCTGCGACCCAGTTTCTGGAGGGAGGGGATCATGCTCTACTGCAGTATTTCACAGTACATGTTGGAGTTCATGTTTCCCTTAATGAAATGTAACTCTCCAATACCTGCAGTACTCATGCAGCTCCAGACCATGACATTCCCACCACCATGCTTGACTGTAGGCATGACACACTTATCTTTGTACTCCTCACCTGGTCGCCGCCAACACAAGGCCATCAGAACCAAACAAATTAAATTTTGTTTCATCAGACCATAGGACATGGTTCCAGTAATCTATGGGCTTTGTTGATATGTCTTCAGCATGGCTTTCTTGTGTATTGCCTTCAGAAGAGGCTTCCTCCTTTTGTTGACATGTGACAGCAAACAAAATTTTCTTGTGTACCTTCAGAAATTTGATCCTGGGGACTGACAGCCATGCACACCAATTTGATATGGTAATTTGAATGGTCTGAACACTAACAGGCTGAATCCCAATCTCTTTAATCTCTGCAGCAATGCTAACAGCACTCCTACACTGATTTTTCAAAAAAAGCATTTGGATATGACGCTCAGCATGTGTGCTCAGCTTCTTTGGACGACCTACCCGAGGCCTGTTCTGAGTGGACCCTGCATATTTTTAAAATGCTGGATGATCTTAGCCACTGTGCTGTGGCTCAGTTTCAGGGTGTTGGCAATCTTCTTGTAGCCTTGGCCATCTTTATCAATTACGTTTTTAAGATCCTCAGAGAGTTCTTTGCCATGTGATGCCATGTTGGAACTTTCAGTGACGGTAAAGAGAGTGTTAGAGCTGCACTACAAATTTGAATCTTTTGCTCCCCATGAACACATGGGCATAGTTACACTAATGAGTCACATGACATTTTGGAGGGAAAATGAAAAGCAGTACTCAATTTAGACATTTAGGGGTGTAGTTTCTTTGGGGTGTACTCACTTTTATATTTTGCCAGGGATTTAGCTTTTAATGGCTATATTTTGAGTTATTTTGAGGGGAAAAGAAATTAACTCTGTTATATATGCTATTTGACAGACTACTTTTCATTGTGTCAAAAAGGTAATTTTTTTCAGTGCTGTCCCATGAAGAGATATACTTAAATATTTGAAGAAATGTGAGGGGTGTACTACTTTTGTGATACACTATATATATATATATATATATGCTTATGTGTGCATACTATATATGTATATATGTGGATGTAATTGATATGGGTATTTATACATGTTTATGTATATGTGGATGTATGTTTGTATCATCAATACTAACTAAAATCTACTTTTGTTTGATAATTTTTTTTAATTGCTTATAGACTTAATCAACAATTGTGTCTCATTACATTTTAAAATTATATATGGACTTTACTGTACTTTTATCATCAATAAGATAATATATTGTTAGAATATGTAAAGGTTTATGCATGCATATGTATATATTTGTGTGTTTATATATATATATATATATATATATATATATATATATATATATATATATATATATGTATATATATATATATATATGTATATATATATATATGTGTGTATGTTTATGTTTCCATTTGTATGTGTTTTTTATATGTGTGTTTGTGTATGTGTGTATATATGTATGTATGTTTGTTTCAGTTTATATATGTATATATATATTTATATTTGCTTTGTTTAATTTTTATGTTGCTGTGTGGCTTGGTATATTTATGCGTATGTATGTGTAGATATATATGTGTAATGCATGTATATGTATATATGTGTGTATATTCTTTTAGGTAGGCTTTTCTGTGTTTCTATCTGTAGGTAGTTTTTATTTGCTTATACCTACTGTGCAATAGTGTGTATATAGATATATATATATTCTTTGTTTCTCTGTTCTATTAGACCATTTTTATCTATCTATATTTGCCCGTATAAGGTATATTTTAATAAGTGGTTAGAATTCGTTTAATAACAATTTCAATCTTAAATATTTCTTGGTTGTTGTAATGGAATGTCTATGTCTATGTCAATGTATGTAGGTATATGTATGTATCTTTATCGGTCTCTGTGTGTATGGTAACTTGGATGCACCTTTCATTGTGTATGTATGTATGTATGATTTTTTTTGTATTTTTTTGTAAAAGGTCATGGAGATATTTCCTGTTTCGTCACTTTTTTTTGTGTGTATATATCTAAATATGTCTGCATGCTGTATTATAATCTGATTGTGTAAGTATTGTCTTTTGCAAGATGTCATCCTCCCCTGCCTATATTTAGAATTCAAATGTATCTATGTTGTCATGAAGCTCAGAACAACAGTTGATATTAA